TTGGGGGGGGAGGAAAGCTACAGCGTTCCTGGGGTGACAGGAGTTGACCCCCAGGGCACACAAGCTGAGATGAAGGGGGATGGCGCTGAGCAGGGAGCTCAGGGGGATGCAGAGGGGTTTTGGGGTGCAGGGAGCAGGTACTGGGGTTCAGTGGGGTGGGAACTGATGGGGGTGCAGAGGGGTTTTGGGGGTGCAAGGGGCAAGCACTGGGGTTTAGTGGGGTACAGATGGCTCAGGGGGGTGCAGGGGGCAGGCACTGGGGTTTAGTGGGGTACAGGGAGCTCAGGGGGGTGCAGAGGGGCAAGCACTGGGGTTTAACAGGTTACAGGGAGCTCAGGGGGGTGCAGAGGGGTTTTGGGGCTGCAGAAGGGCAGGCAATGGGGTTTAGTGGGGTACAGGGGTACAGTGGGGTGCAGAGGGGTGGTAAAGAGGCTCAACATGGTGCCATGGGGTGATGTGGGGTACAGTGAGATGCTGCTGGATCCGTTCTCCAGCACAGCGGCTCCTGCATTCCTCCAGAGATGAGAGGAAGGAGGTGAGGAGGACGATGGCCGGGGCTCCTCCAGACCTTTCGGGTTCCCCCCTTGGGGAGTTGGAGTTTCCAGGGTGCAGAATCCACTGCACAAGGCGGTGGCACGATCTCCACGTCAAACCCAATCCTGCCTTGTGCCAGCTCAGTCCCAGAGCCTCGGGGAAATGGTCCAGAGGTCTCAATCCTCTGCGGTTGATGGAGGATGTCCCATGTGCTCTGCCCCAGGGCTCCCGTGGCGGGCTCAGGCTCTGTGCCCTGGAGCAGGATGGGGACGGTGACGAGGGGCTGGGGACGTGGCTGTCCCCAGGACAGGCTCATGGGGGAGAAGGAAAAGCTGCAAACACTGCACAGTGCCAGGCACGGCCGCTTGCGTCGCCCCCAGCTGCGCTGACACCCCAAAAAGGGGTTTTGCAAGCACAGGGCAGCGTCACGAGGTTTAGTGCTGGTTTCATATGGGGCAGCCCCAATTCCCATCCCACAGACCATACTGGGGAGTGGAGAGGAAGCTCATCCTCTGGGTTTCTCCTTTTTCCCTGGGATGGAAATGAAATTAATGAGGTTTGGAGGCTCGAGAGAGGATTCCTGGGCCTTTCCCTCGCAGGGCAAGGAGCAAATCCACAGGGGACGAGAAGGGCTCCAGGGGCTCTCGGGGAAGGAGAGGAAACGCAAGCTGGGAGCCGGCGGGGCCACGCGTTCCCGCAGAGGAGCGAGGGCTCAAACTTATAAATAATGAAGTAGCGAGCGTGAAACATTGATCTCTGCCGCTAATGAGCACATCGGGGAGCGCAGCCCCGAAACGGAGGCGACGGGGAGGGTGATTCCTCCTTCCCTGCAAAGGGGAACCAGACCCTGTCCCCTGCCCACGCCACGCGTGGCCCTGTGGGATGGGGACACCCCAGGGCTGGAAAGGTCATGAGGGGAGTCAAGAATTAGGTTTGGGGGGTGCCAGACACCCCCGTGGTGTTGGAGGGGCTGTGAAGAGCCAGGACAGAGCTGGGGGGAGAAATTGTTTCCCCCTGTGTCTCTTTAGAGGGTTCAGTCCCAATTATGGGACCAGTCCAAGCTCCACCGCTGTTCCTGGAGCATCCCTGCATCCCACACATGCACCCAGCTCCTGTGGGGCACCGGCCAAGGCCGGGGGGGATGGAGACGGACGAGCAATGCCAGTGACCCCCCTAGCATGGCTCGATGATGATGCAGGATGAAAGGGGACGTGGGAAAAGCCGGTGTAACCCCAGGATGGGCTTCCCCACAGCATCCGGCACAAGGGGGACCCTGTCCTGGCTGCAGGGCGATGCCGGCTGCTGCGGGGGGGGGCTGAGGTCCAGCCCACAGCCCCCCTGGGATGCTCCATAGCGGGGGGCACACGGGCAGCACTCCCAGCCCTGGGGGGGACCCTCAGTTCCCTCAGCTGCCCCCCAGCGATGCTCTCTCAGCGTCTGGCAGCGCGGAGGGGGACGCGGGCAGGAGGCAGCTCCTGCCGCCTTCTTGTCACCCCGGATATTTCGGTTATGGCAGCCCCTCATTTGCATTCGCCGCGTCTCTCCC